GAGAGAGAGAGAGAGGAGAGAGAGGAGAGAGAGAGAGAGAGAGAGAGAGAGAGAGAGAGAGAGAGAGAGAGAGAGAGAGAGAGAGAGAGAGAGAGAGAGAGAGAGGGAGAGGAAAAAGACAGAGAGAGAGAGAGGGAGAGAGGGAGAGCCCCTCAGAGGAGGAACTAGGAAGAGGAGGAGGAGAAGGAGGAGGAGAAGGAGGAGGGGGAAGGGGGCGAGGAAGAGAAGGAGGAGGCGGCGGTGGACCCGAGGACGAGAAGGAGGAGAGGGCGGAGGAGGGGGGGAGGAAAATAAGCGGAGCTTGAGAAGAGAAAGAGCGGGAGGAGGTGCCAGCGCCCGCCAGTCAGGCGCCGCCCGCGATGGCGATGGCGAGGAGCTGCTTATCCTGCTGGCGGCGGGCGGGGAGATGGGCCGCCCCTCCTCTCCGAGGGCCTTCACCTCCATCCCTCCCTCCTCCTTCCCCTCCTCCACCTCCTCCTTCTCCTCCTCCCTTCTTCTCCTTCTCCTCCTCCCCCTCCTCCTCCTCCTTCTCCTCCTTCTCCCCCTCCCCCCCCCCTCCTCCCCCCTCGAGCCCCCCTCGGATCCCCGATCGCCCGCCTCCACCCCCTTCTCCGCCCGTGCCGCCGCCGGCAATTTCGCCACGCCCCTCACGCGCTTTCGTTGCCCATCCAATCGTGTGTGCCCCGTGTCCTCAGTCGTCGTTAGCGCCCGAATATACCCAGTCCCAGAATCGATCACCGATGCGGCGGCGCGGCGGGCACGCGCACTCGACACCCGACGCGTCGACGTCTGGAGTTGAAAGACGCAGCGTCTCCAACTCGGACGGGGTCGGGTTCCGCCGCGCGCAGGGCCTAGCACTCCAACTTGAACTATCGGCACCGTCGCGGTGATTCACCAGCTCTGACTCGAGACCAAAGCGGGGCGTCCAAGTGGAGAAGGGCATGACACCTACGACCCCGCGGTGCCCTAGGGGGAGGGGGCGGGCTTGACGGGCGAACCCCTCCGCGCGACCCCCGCGCCGTTCGCCCACCGACCGACTTATAGGGGAGGAGGGGGGGGAGGGGGGGTAGAAGGGGGAGAAGGAGGAGGAGGGGGGTAAGGAGGAGAAGGAGGAAGAGGAGGAGGAGGGGGAAGGGGGAGGAGGAGGAGAAGGAGGAGAAGGAGGACAAGGACGAGGATGAGGACGTCAAGGAGGTGGAGGAGGAGGTGCCAGAGGAGGAGGAAGAGGAGGTGGACGTATTCTATAAGTTCGCCTGCCACAGGCACGCGATCGGGGCAGGGGCATCGGGGGCTGGGAAATAATTATCTGGCGGCCCCCCTCTATTATGCAACAGTCCGCCATCCTGGTCAGGGCGCCTCGTATATACTTCTGCCCCATTCTTCCTCTCCCACCTCCTCTTCCTTCTCCCTCTCCTTCCCGTCCTCCTCCCGCCCTACCCTGCTCCTTATCCTCATTATTCCCCTGTTCCTTCCTCCTCCATCACTTCTTCGTCCTGCTCCTCCCCCTTCCTGCTCCTCTTCCTGCTTCTCTTGCTCCTGCTCCTCCCCCCTCCTGGATGGGCCGCTGGGCAGGTGGCGCGAACGACGAGATGGGCCAGATGGAGGGGGCCCGCCGACGGTGAGAGGCACCGTCTCGCTTCCTCGCGCCAGCCGGCCTCGATGCTCGCTCCCCATGTCTCATTATCCTCCACATCCTCCTTCTCCTTCTCCTTCTGCAGGTCTCAATTGGGCGGCGGTCCTCTATGGCCGACGCTGGTTGCGCCGACGCCCGCGGCCCTGCTGCGCACCGCGCTCGGGCGGCGCGGCATAGATATTCTTGGCCGTGCCCAAGTACCCGCACACGTTGAAGCAGCTGAACACTGTCTGCCCCAATCGCCTCCTATGGGCCCGCGACGCAGCCTGCCGCAGGGCAAGGTTCAACGTCTCATCCACGAACGTGGAATACCAAGACGGGTTGCCAAGATTCCAAGACCTGCGTTGAGCGCGAACCAACGTTATGCAACCCCGCCAACCCCTACAAGGAGTAAACTAATAGCGTCGGATGGTTTCCTCCTTGGGGGAACGGTTCGCCCCCGCCCTCCCCCCCCGACATCTCGCGCCCGAAACTTTCCGCCCCTCTGCCTTTCTATCCCCCGCGCGTCGGCGCTTGGCCAGGCCAAGCGATGAAATCAAAATATTGAAGAGGTCTCAGGCGGGCGCCGAACTGGATCGCGAAGTAACTGCACCTTGCATGCCTACCGAATTTCTTCTCACCCTCGCACGCGCGCGGGCGCCGTCCTATATCAGGCCCGTTAGGCCTGAGTTGGACCCCTACGAACCTCGACGCTTACTATTCATTTCGACCATATTCCCCCATCCCCCCCCCCCTACTCCTCCTCCCCCCATCCTTCTCCCCCTCCTGCGCGTGGCCAGGCGGGGGCGCGCGCAGCGTTGGGGATATGCGACGCACTCGCGACCCATCCCCCCGCCCACCCCCTTCTCCCACCCCCCCCCCTCCCCCGCGGGAGAGGGGGGGCGGGGCGATGGCAGGAGGCGAAGGAGGAGGGGGTGGAGGAGAAGGGAAGAGGAGGGAAGGAAGGGGCAGATGAGGATAAGGAGAGGGAGGAGAAGATGAAGCGCGGGGGAAGTGGATGACGGGAAGGTGGAGGAAGCATGCGTTCCCCTCTCGAAATGGCACCCCGATCAGGTCCCCGAGCTCACCATCCTGCAGGCGCTTCGGCCGCTCGCTTTTTGCCTGCCGTGAGAACCCCCTCTCCCATCCCTCCCCTCTCCTCCTTCCTCCTCATTCCCTTTTCCCTCCTCCATCCACTATCTCTTTCTTTCTCTCTCTCTCTCTCTCTCTCTCTCTCTCTCTCTCTTTGTTTGTTTCTCTCTCTCTCTCTCTATATGTCTCTATTTCTCGTTTTCTTTCTTTATTTCTTTATGTCTTTCTCTCTCTCTCTCTCTCTCTCTCTCTCCTCTCCCTCTCTCTCTCTCTCTCTCTCTCTCTCTCTCTCTTCCCCCTCTTCCCCCTCGCTCTCTCTCTCTCCCTTCTCTCTTCTTTCTCTCTTCTCTCTCTCCCTCCCCCTCTCTCTCTCTCTCTATCCTCTCCCTCTCCCTCTCCCTCCCTTCTCTCTCTCTCTTCATCTCTCTCTCCTCTCTCTCTCTCTTTCTCTCTCTTTCTCTATGTCTCTCTCTCTCTCTCTCTCTCTCTCTCTCTCTCTCTCTCTCTCTCTCTCTGTCCTTCTCTGATCCCGCTCACCCCCCCCCCCCCCCTCGTCCCCTCCCCCCAGTGGGCGAGGTATAGGGTCAGGCGGTATGAGCGAGATCCAGCACGTCGAGCATACGAAATTATTCCCCCCCCCCCCCCCCCCCCACCCCCCCCCCCCCCCCCCCCCCCCCCCCCCTGCAGAATGCACCCTTCCCCCCTTCTGAAGGGGGCGGGCGGGCGAAGGGGGGGGGCGAGCTCGGGGGCTGGGCAGGGGCGGCGGGGGAGGTGGCTATGGGGCGAAAGACGACGATTGTTGCGACGCTTGACCTTACGCTCATGTGGCAGAACAAATGGAACTTGGGCGTGAACGCGATGCCCGCATTCTCGGCGCGCACGCAGAAACGAACAGCATTGTCCAGGAGCTCCTGGTAGTAGTCTGCCTCGAGCACGAGGGGCGCGCGCCTGCACACGTCGAGCCACGCCTGCAAAGACTTGCAGGCTGTCAACAAGTCGCTGCTCCCATGGATGCGATCGCCCCACTTCTTTAGCTGATGAACTGCAAAATCAAGGAGGAGTGCCGTCTCTGCGGCCTTCGTTGCCATGATCGCACCTGGGTGCGGCATCCACGAGAGGGAAGCCTTCGCCTGTTTACCACAGGCGTTGAAACCAATCATTTTCAATGTCAGACGGCCCAGCCTCCGATCGTGCGGGACGCCCTCGTCATCAAACCACTTGAACATTTCGCTCTCCAGGCGCCGAATGCAACGTGCCACTGAAAGCTCGAACCTGCCATGGAATGACCACACATTCGCCTGAAGGATGCGAGATAATGCGCACGACGTCGCCCTCATCACAGGACCGTAGTACACAGTATGAAGTGTATCTATCGCGAGGTTCTCATGAGGAGAAGTTCCCAAATATCTATCAAATAATGGGCATCGGTGGTTAGCCCAGTCGGTGCACCGCCCATGCTGGTCAAAGTGTTTCCTCCAGAAGACACACTTGAATGGCGTTTTGAGGCTGTCAAACTGTCGGATGTCGTGAACGTCGCCACCAGGCTCCAACCGGTCACCCGCCAAGAGCCCGAACTCGGGTAGAGCAGTGATCAGGCACCTGCCCTTGCCAATCTCATCTGGGTGGTATTTCAGCAAGCGCACAATTTCAGATCGCTGGCGATTGTCGAGGACGTTGACATGGCGCTCACACGCAAGGCAGCTCTGCTCGTAGTCGGCCGCGGCCCTGTCCTCGTAGGTCACCCCGCTGGCATCCAACATGCCAGGAATGACAAAGTGGAGGCAGCTGGATGGCGCTGGACAGCACGGGCACGGATTGTGGAACGTCCGCCAATTGCTCAATCCAAAGGTTTTGGCAAATTCAGACCAATCTCCTTTGGCATACACCATTGCCGCAGTAAACCCCAACGCCCGCGAGGCGTCCTTCTCGTCATCCCGCGCCGAGCCGTCAGGCTTTGCTGCAGGGGAGAAGCCGTCCTTGAGAGCACGCAACTGCCACGCCACAGCGCGGAGGACGGTGTATATGGAACACCACCCGCCGCAGCCGCAGGTACACATGTCCCCAGTACGCACCGCCGCTACCAAGTGACGCTTATTCGACAACAGGTTGGTGATGGATATACCCAATATGGAGTCTGGTCTGGACTGCATTGCCGCGAACCGAACGCCATCGCAGTAAAATGCAATCGGGAGGGGATAGTTCTTGCCAGATGCCAGTGCTTCCTGGACGTTAGGACTGCTGAGGTATGATCGGTTTGCTAGATGAGACGCGCGGTCCACCGACCCATTCTCAAGGTTCTCCCTCATCCACAGGTTCTGATCAAATTCATCGGCTAATGAATTGTATGCTAATGCAATGGGAATGGTGTGGTACGTTCGCTCTGCCCGACCCTGCACGCGCGCGGGCATCTCCACATCAACAAAAGTGAAAGTCTGCGGGAGGACTTGATCAAGTCGAGCCTTGTACTGGCCTGATTGAAGGTCAGGCGCCATTTTGTATAAATCCCAGTCAGCTCCCTCAACACCCGCGGCATCAAGATAATAACACAACTCACAGAGATCACGCGCGGACATAACCTTGCACGCCCCATACATCCCGAGAAGTTTCTTGAAAATGGAAGACCCAGCAGCATGACGAGCAGCAGAGCTGCGGTCTGCAGCGTCGCCGCCATCGCCGCTTGGCTGGTGGCGAGCCCCGCGCCGCCGCTTCGTTGCTGGTTCTGGCCGCATACTTGCGATGCAAAGCTATGGCGTACGGATCCGAGACGAACGATGACGCGCACTGCGCATAGGTCAGGGGGGTGGGGCTGGGGGCGGCTGGGCCCGACGCGGGGCGAGGATAGGTGAACGAGTCGGGAGAGACGGGCGGGGTAGAGTGCAGAAGGGGTAAGAGGGGAGAGGGGCAGAGACTTGGTGGAGAGGAAGATGGCATGGGGAGGGCGCCCGCCCAGGCGCTCGACATCCGCGCGAAGGAGAAGCTGGTCTCACCCCAGAGAAGTGCTTGAAGGCCGCCAATGGGGCCCGCGGTTTGGGGAGAGGCTCGGAGGTTTGAGCGCCAGTGGGCGCGATGAGACCCAGGACCAAACCGAGCAGCTCTCGGGGGCGTGCGAGCGAGCAAAGCTGGGCGCCTTACTTATTTAATGACCCATCCCCTCAGACATTCTTCCCATTATGCGAGCCATGTGCACTGTCCGAGGGGATATCTAGCACCCGCGCTGGAAAGACCAGAACGACGATTGCGAACAACTGATAGTCATCCCTCGCTGGTCGGCGGATGCCGTGAGCCACGCGCACGCCGCGTCATCAATTTGCGTGCTGACTACTCTACTCAGAACCCTGCAACTCGCTCTAAATATCATGATGATGATGGCATGCGAGGTGATCGCCCACCCCCTCCTCTTCTCAACGGTCGTCGTCGTGATCCTGGCCGTCCGCTCGTCCTTGTCCTTCTCCTCCTCCTCCTCCTCCTCCTCCTCTTCCTTATATTCCTCCTTGTCCTTCTCCTTCTCCCCCTTCCCCCCCCCCTTCCCTCCCCTGGGGGGCCCTCTTGGAAAACCACCTCCCCAACGCCCCCGAAGAACATGGGGAGGCGGCAATACTCCCAACGCAGTGCTTGCATCGAGCGATCGGCGCCCGAGGGCATGCTATGATCGCAGGTCTTCCAACATGTGTAGCTTCTCGTTGGCAACAACGACCAACGCTGAATTCGGGGTCCACACCACGACGCCATTTCTGAGAAAGCAGCACACGCGAATAGTCGATCACCTCGGGACGAGCTCGCCTAAGCACACCTGTCTTGCACCTGTCTTGTACTGGATTGCAAAGGGATGTTGCATACGTGAACTGCCCTGTTTAGACCTCTTGCGTTGCCGCATGTCGTTTGCCCTCGCACTATCGAGCGCGCAGACAGGCACAGAGCACGAAAAACGGGGTGCGATCAGCTGTCGTGGCGCAAACCCCAGCACCGCGCCCTCGCACCCCGATCGGGCGAAGTCCCGAAATCAAGATCGGCAACGCATGCGCCGCAGACACGCTCTCCATGTTCCCTGGGAGGCCCCTGGAGGTTTATACGCAGTTTAGCCGGTAGTTTACACGCGGCCCTGGGGGCAGGAAACCATGTGATTTCACCGGGAAACGTTGCGTTTATACGGGTAGTTTATATGGGCAGTTTAGCCGGTAGTTTATACGGTAGTTTGGCGTGCCAAGTGTCTGCCGACACCCCTGCGACAGCATTGCAACTTCATGGGGGGCTGATCCGCCCCCCACGCAGGCCTAGGCCCATGCCCAAGACCTCACCCCAACATTAAATTATCGATTGCACGCTCTGCGATCGAGGCCCTCATGCACTCGAGCGCTGCTATGGAAGGTATTAGGTGCAACCCTCAGAAATTGTGTTCACCGACTCCCATGGGAGCTCGAGGCCTTCCTGGCCTTCTTAAGGTTCGCCTTCTCAGGGAGAGAGACCAGGCGCACGCGGCTGTTGTGCTGAGCAATCAGCAGGCGGCACTCGTGGTCGAGCGCCTCGACAGGCTCCTTCAGAGCGAACACGGCGCGACCCAGGACCGCCTGCACTTTCTCATCTCCGAGCGTAGACTTCAGGTTCGCGAACTGGCCAGCGAGGCAGGAGGCGAGGTCGCGGTCCTGCTTCAGGATCTCGTGAACCTCGATCGGGGCGCTCATCTCTCTCATCCTAGTCTGTCCTGGCCCCCTCGTGTCCCCTCCAATCCTCCTCTTGCCCTCGTCTCCTTCTCCTCCTTCTCGCCTCCCCTCGCCGCCCTGCTCCTCCTCCTCCCCATCCCATCCTTCCACCTCCTCCTCCTCCTCCGCCCCCTCCTTCCCCCTCCCAGCTCCCCCCGAGCCCTTGCCTGCGTCGCTCCCCGCCCCCTCGAGATCCTCGAGCCCCCCATGCCCTCCCTCCTCCCAGTCACCTGCCCCCCCTTCACTCCCCCCATCCTCCTTGCCGCGCCCCCCCCGCCCCCTCCAAGGCGGAGGGGGCGGGGGGGGCGGCAGTTGGTGGTCCGAGGAGCGGAGGCGGAGGAGGAAAGTGAAGGAGGATAGCGGGCGCCTTGCTGTCCGCGCTGCGCAACGGGCCCATCACGACGTCGTTGTCGGCCCAGCACCAATCGGGGTCGGACTTAACCATCCTGAGGATGGTGTTGCACTCGCTGGTGGCCTTCTGGTAGGAGGTCTTCAGCTCCTTGAACTTCCTCCCGTTGTCATCGGGCTTCCTCGAGATGACGCGTGCTGGGATGCCGCCATCACCATCCCCGCCGCCTCGGCCCTTGACAGCACTTCTGGGCGTCGGAGTTGCAGCGCCCTCGCCCCGCGGCCGCGTCGGGGTCGCCGTCGGGGTCGCCGTCGGGGTCGCCGTCGGGGTCGGCGTCGCGGGAATCAAGCTAGGCGTCGGGGGCGACGCGGCAGGCTGACCTCCCGCGCGCGAGGGCGTCGCGGCCGGCGCGGACTGCGCCGCGGCGTCGCCCTCCGCGGAAGCATGTGCAGTCGGCTGCTCGGCCCAGTCCTCCCACGCCCTCCAGGAGCGCTTGAACTCGTCGCGGACGCTGTGCTGGACGTGCAGATATTTGAGGACCTCACCCATCTCGTCCCACGAGCACCAGATGCCCCCCATGATCACGCAGTTCGTCGCGTAACGAACGGCAATTTTCATGCCGCTCGAACCTCCGCCCTCGAGCCATGCCAGGCGGCCCAGGGACACGCATGTCCCATTCCTGATTTCAGACTTCGAATGCTTCTCATCCTTAGAGCGGCCCCTGGCCACCTGGTGTTTGTCGTACTTGCCCTTTGCCCAAGCAGCGCGGAAGTCGGCCTTCTGGAGGTACCCCTCCTTCGCGCGGTATTCTGCCGCCAAGGCAGCGTCAGCTCTCAAGGCCCTAGCCCAGCGCCCCGCAATGCTGTTGCCTGAAGTGCAGGCGGTCCCGAACTTGAAATCGTGCGCCTTCATGCCCTCCCAGAAGACGTCTTCCTCCGCCAAGGCCTTCTGCTTTGCATCCATCGAGAGCTCCTGGTCAGCCTGATGCAGCGCTTTCATCTTCCTAACGAGATCGCTGTGGCACAGCTGCGAGATCGACACCTCGGCTTTCTGCGCGGCGTCCTCGAGGACGAACTTCTCGGGAGCGCAGCTTGCCAAAACCTTCGCAGCATCGTTGACGCGATCCATCTGCTGGACCACTTGTTGCCTCAGAGTCTCCTTGTCAGTCGCTGGCGCCATGGGGGCATCGGGGGCAGGCTGCGGGGGCTGCGCCGGCTGCGGCTGAGGCTGCGCGGGCGGCTGAGCTGGCGGGTAAGCCGCCGCTGAGCCTGCCGCCCAGGGGGATTCGGTCCCCCGCGCGGGCGCGGAGGCCTGCGGCGTGGAGCCACTGCTCTCTCCCGCTGCAAGGGGCTCCGCGCGCGGCAAAGACGCCGACCGCACGCTCGTGGCCGCTGGTGTCATCGGCGACGGCTGAGGCACGTCGCCATGGTCGACCGAGTCGGGGTAAGGCACCTCGTGAAGCTCATCCAGCCTATCTTTAGCTTGCTGCTCCTTTTCCCTCTCAGACATGGCGAACTCGAACGTCGGCAACTCTGGCACACATGGCGTCTCCGAATATTCAGAGTCCGTGTCCACATCATGTTGGTTACACCCACTCAGCCTGCGGTCGTCGCTCGCGGTAGTTGAGGCGACTTCCCACCGCTGGTTCCGCGTTGCCTCGTACTCATCAACTTCAGCTTCCAGCATGAGCGCCTCAGCCTTCTCCTTCTCCTCCTGCTCATAGGCCAATTTCTGTGCCATGACGCGCTTGCGCTCGTTGAATATCATGGTGGCCTGGCGCTTCGCCTCGGCCTCATCGATGATGGCTTGGGCTTCGTCATCTGGGCTGATGCCGCCACCTCGCTGGCGCTTGCGCGCCTTGCAGTCGATCACCCTGTGGAGTTTCTTCTTCTGCTCCTCCCTCTCGGCAGCTTCATCCGCGACCTCCTCGGCTGGATCGCCTGCTGCGCCTGCGCCCAAGGGGGGCTCGGGGGCATCTGCTGCCGCCGTTGGCGCCCCCCCAGCCCGCGCCGCCTCCGCGGCCTCGGCTGCCACCTGGAGCCTGGCCCGCTGAAGCGCCTCGGCCTTGGCCTGCTGAATCGCCTCGGCCTTGGCCTGCTGCGCCGCCTCGAGCGCATCGGCCTTGGCCTTCTGCAGCGCCTCGTCTCTGGCCTGCTCCAGCGCCTGAGCCCTGATCTGCTCGATCTCGGCTTGGGCCTCCTGAAGCGCCTCGGCCTTGGCCTGCTCGAGCGCATCCTCTACGGCCTTGGCTGCCGCCTCGCGCCTGGCCTCATGGAGCGCATCGGCCTGTGCCTCCTGCAGCGCCGCGGCCTTGGCCTGCTCGAACGCCGCGGCCCTGGCCTCAGCCTTGGCCTGCTCGATCCTGGCCACATCGGCCTTGGCCTCCTCCCCTTCAACCTGCTGCGCCTCGAGGGCCAGCAGCTCTGGCTGCGCAGCCAAGCGGGCGCGCTTGCTGCGCGGCACGATCCAGCCCGACGGCGGCGCGCAGCCAGGCGCCGCCGGCTCCACTGGGCGCATCGCCGCTGCCTCCTCCGCCGCGTCGCCAGCCAGCTGGGCAGCCGTCGGCGTGTGGTCGACGCCCTCGGGCTCGCCAGGCGGGATGCCCGCCTCTGCCATCAGCGCCTCGGCCTGCTCTCCGAAAGCATCCACAATCTCCTGAGCGGCTCGAGGAACGCGTTTCATTTGCGCGCCCTGGTGCAATTTCGGCAACGGCACCAGAGCGCGCAACTGAAATCCAGAAATCTGCGCCCCCCCCCAGAAAACCGCTCACGGCCAACGTGAGCGGTTCTCTGGAGGGAGATCGAGAGGGGGAGGAGGAGGAGGAGAAGAAGGAGGAGGAAAAGGAGGAGAAGGAGAAGGAGGAGGAGGAGGAGGAGGAGGAGGATAAGGAGAAGGAGAGGGAGAGGGAGGAGGAGAGGGAGAGGAGGAGAATGATAAGGAGGAGGAGGGGAAGAAGGAGGAGAAGGAGAAGGAGGAGAAGGAGGAGGAGAAGGAGGAGAAGGAGGAGGTGGCGGAGATGAGAAGGAGAAGAAGGAGAAGGAAGACGAGGAGGAGGAGAAGAAGGAGAAGAAGGAGGAGGCAGGAGGGGAAAGAAGAGGAGGAGGAGGAGGAGAAGGAGAAGGAGAAAGAGAAGAAAGAGCGGAGGAGGAGGAGGAGAAGGAGAAGGGGGAAGAGGAGGAGGCGGAGGAGGAGAGGGAGGAGGAGAAGGAGGAGGAGGAGAAGGAGGAGAAGAAGGAGGAGGAGGAGGAGGAGGAGGGGGGAGCAGCGGCGGCAGCAGCATATGAGCACCGACATGGAGATACATCGAGGCAGAGGGTAGCAATGGAGCAGCAGCATCAGCGGCAGCTGGCATCGACAGGAATGGCGAGGACCCCAAAGAGAGCTCCTGGCGGTGCCAGGTGACCAGCGCGCTGACGTCCATGCCCTTGAACTCGGACGCTGTGTCGGGCAAGGTATCCTGCAGGCGTCACCCCCCTCCCCCACCTCGCTCATCCTCTTTCCAACCCGTCCCCATCGAGGGATCGCATCCCTTCTCTAATCCCCCCTCGACTCCGACGTCCCCAGGAAACCCGCAGGGCGGTTTGAGAAAGCCTTGCGCTCCTCGCTGAATCCAGGGCGCTCGCCGACGAACCAAGATCCCTGGGCAAGTGGCTGCGCGACTCCAGGCGGCGCTGTCTCAGCCTCTCGGTCCAGCGATTGACGCATGATTGGACGTTCGCACGGCCGACGGGTCGTCGACGCGCTGAGAGCCCAAGCGTTAGAAGGCACGAGGGAGGGGGGTCGGAGAGACATGCCTCAGCAGTCTGCCCTTACCCCCCCCCTCGCGCGCTTCGTCGCATGGGTTCATCAGCGCGCGTCGGCGACCATCGGCTTGCGCCCTGACTTCGCCCCTCATCTGACACCAACCCCAGCCCCCACGTGACGACTAGGCTCGGGGCCCCCTTTCCCAAGACACCAAGTGTTCGGGGCCCGACGATCGACGACGTTGGACGGCCGCGCCTCTGTTGGGCTCGGAACCTCCACGACATCCGACATCGCCTCCGACATCTGAGAATGTAATTGCTGAGCTCGTGGGGTGGGGCGCCGCGGGCTTGGGTCTTCAAACAGCTGAGGTCGGCGGCCGTCGATCATGCCCCCCCCCCCCCCTGTGGATGCCCCCGCCCCCGCACCACATGTGGATCCCAGGGCCTGCATGCGCCCTCCCCCCATCTTGTCCATGGGGTATCCTCGAGCGGGGGGGCGGGTGGGATCAATGAATGACATCTCCTTGTCATGCCGAGCTGGCTGACCTATGTGGGATGGAGGGTGGGGTGGGTCACTCAGGGCAGGATCGATTTTCGACAGACGGCATCTCGCCGCTCGAATCCGCAAGAGCAGCGACGGACTCGGGCTAACGCGGCCTCTAGTCGATCATTCGCGAGCGCTTGTGCACCCGTCGACCACACAACGAATCAAAATGATGAAAGCGCATCCTCCTCCTATCTCTTCCTCCCCGCCTCGACCGCCTCCTGATGCCCCCCCCCCTACCTCGTCCTTCTCAACCCCCCCCTCCTCCCCCCCCCTCCCCCCCCCTCGGGATCCCCCCTCCTCGAAGGGTCGGGGTCTTAAGCTATAGCGGCGCCCGCTCGGACTCAGAAGAGCCCACCCCCCATGTGCAGGTCGCCGCTGTCGATGTCGCTCTGGCGGCCACGGCCGCCCTCGTCGCCGAGCAGATCGTCGCCCAGCCCGCCTGGCGCCTCGAGCAGGAGAAGGGGAAGGGCAGGAGCACAAGGAAAGGGGATTAGGAGGAGAAGAACGGAGGAGGAGCGGAGCCTGGATCGCCTCCGCAGGCCCACCGCTGGCGGCTGAAGGTGAAGGCTCTGCAGCGCGAGGCGCTGCCGCCTCGCTGTCTGCTGGGGCTGCCGCCGCCGCCTCGACCTCTTCCTCCTCAGCAGCCGCCGCGGCATCTGCCACAGCTGCCGCCGCGCCCTCTGCGAGCTCCGCCTCGCTCCCTGCTGCCTCCTGCTGCGCAGCGGGCCGCCTCTTCGGCGCCGCCGCCGCGGGCCGCTTCTTTGCCGGCGGGCTGGGCTCGTCGTCGGAACTGCTGGCACTGTCGTCGAGCTTCGCGTCGTGCTCTGGTGGGTCGGCGCTGCCGCCCTCGTCTCCCTCGGGCTCCTCGCCCCCATCCTCATCGGGCGGCTCCTCGGCTGCTGCAGGATTGGCCCCTTCCTGCTTGGCGTTCGCCTTGGCTTTCGGCTTAGCTGCTGGCGCGGCCGCCGCGGGCCGCTTCATCTTGGCCGCTGCGCCTCCGATCGAGCTCGCGCCTCCACTCGAGCTCTGAGCCTTCAGGTACTCTAGCTTGCGTTCCTCTAATTTCTTCTTGTCCCAGTTCTGGAGCGCGTACCCCTTGCCGAGCTCTACAATGAAAGCGCGCGGGTTGTCCAAGTCGCTCGTGATCAGCAGCTGCGCGACCATCTTCCACCTGGGGCTCCCCTGGGGCTTGCACCAGATGCCGCACTCCTCAGCTTGCTTCCGCTTCCAGACCGACGCTCGAACGGCGTCGCCTGTCTCGCAGTGGGTTCCAGACCAAAGGACACCGTTTGTCGCACCAGCAGGTTTGCCCTTCTGCACGTCCGCGAGCTGTTGGTTGCTCACGCCTGGCACGCTCCATGTGCTCCCATCCTCCCACTTGCATATGACCTCCTCGCCCGCGCGCTGCAAGTCGGGTACCGGTGCCAGGGAGTGCTCTGCCTTGGCCTTCCTGTCGCTGGCGTCGATGCGGTAGCCGACCTACTGAGGGGCGGGGCCGCGCCAGGGGGAGTGGTTCCCAAAACAGTACTTGCTTCCCCTCCCCCCCTCGATCGGGGCTCAATGACGACGGGGGCAGTGGGGGGGGGCGTGCGATCTATGCCACTTGGCCCCGCATGGGGGCCAGCTGGGCAGCCCCGAGGGGGCCGAGGGTCGAGGGGCGATGCTTCACCGATGCATTCTTAAGTTTGTTTTACGCCGACTCCTTGCCCTGTCATCCTGATCCTTCCCCTCCCCTGTCCTTCTCCTTTTCTCCTCTTCTCCTCCTGTCCTTCTCCTTCCCTCCTCTTCTCCTCCATCTCCCTCCACGCCGATGCCAACTGTTTGGGGGCCGCGCCTTAATTATTCTCACTTTCGTGGGCAGGCCTGCTGCACTGCATCCCAATTGTATGTGTGCGCGATTGCCTTCAGGTTCTCCTCGTGGAGGGAGGCAGCGGAGGTTGGGGAAGGAAGGCCTCTCGAGTCGGACTCGTGCTCGAGTCGATGGCCCCCTTCCCCTGCCCCCCCCTGCCCCCCCCCCCCGATGGGGTCTCGAAGACGCAGCGACGCGGCGGCGGGGGTGGGCGGGGGGGGGCTAAAAGGAGGGGGGGGGAGAGAGAGGAGAAAGAGAGGAGCGCAGGACGCGAGAAGGAAAGGAGGAGAGGTGGATGGGAAGGAGAGGAGGATCGAACAGGACGAAAGGAGGAAGGAGGGAGCGAGGAGGTTCCCCTGTTACCCCCACGCGTCCTTCTCCGCGATCGTCTTGAACCACTCTGGCTGCTGCCCGCGAGTCCTAGGGGCGCGCAGAATTCACGGACGAACGAGCGGGGAAGGAGGTTGGGCTTAAGATGGCTTGGAGAAGCAAGGCCAGGGGGAGAGCGCGGGATCGATGCTAACGCCATGCGTCTCTCTTCCCGCTCTCTCCCCCATGCCCCGCTCCCCATCGCCTCTCAGCCTGCCTCCCTCCCCAATCGCCCGTCCGCGTGCGATTGAGAGTGGGGATGTAAGTGAGGGTGAGAGCATGCGAGAATGAGTGCGAGAGCAGGAGTGCGAGTGATAGCGAGACTGAAATTCCGGATGATAATGGCATCGGAATCAGAATGGGAGTGCGAGCGAGAGCGAAAGTGAGTAGGAGTGAGATTAAGAGCGAGCGGGGGCAAGCTGTGAGAGTTACAAGGGCGAGAGCAAAAAAATGGAGGGCAGAGCGGGGATCAGAGAGTTGAGGGCGATGAGTGAGAGCGGCAGTGAGAGCGGGAGTCAGGGAGGTGAGAGTGAATTCAACGGCCGACGTCCTGAAGCGACTGGCCGCCTGCGCCACGTGTCTGAGCATGGCGCGCAACATGGCGCTCTTCCTCTTGGCCCACGTCTTGGTCTGGCCATCGGGTACGTTGAACTTCGAATTCTCCTCCTCGCGGTCACGGCGAGAGGAGCTTCAGGGATAGGAGCTTGGATGAGACATTGGGGAGGTGGGATAGGAACAGGAGGAGGAGGAGGAGGGAGAGGAGGAGAGAGGTGAGAAGCAGCAGAAGATGAGGGAAGCCAAGGAGGATGAGGAGGTAGAGGAGGAGGAGGAGGAGGAGGAGGAGGATCGATGAGGAGGTGGGAGGTAGTGGAGCACGGGGACGCAGGATCCTCCTCCTCCTCGTCCCTCCTCCACCCTCCCTCCTCCCTCGCCTCCCTCCCTAGATCACTCCCTCCCTCCCCCCCTTCCTCTCCCTCTCCGCCTTCTCCTTCTCCTCCTCCTCCTCCTCCTCCTCCTCCTCCTCCTCCTTCTCCTCCTCAGCCTCCGCTTCCTCTGCTCCTCCTTCCCCTGTCCTCTGCGATCATCATGAACGCTTCGATCGCCATCGTCTTCGTGATGGCCTCTGCTGGGGCGATGGCCTGCCTGATCTCGGACAGCATGGCGGCCTGGGCTGCTCTCCTCACTCCTCGCCCTCCTCGCTCTCAGCCATTCCCCTGTTCGTCCTCCTCATGTACCTCTTCCCCTCATCCGCCTCGCCCTGGGTCCCAGGATCCAGGATCCAGGCCGCCGATCCCCTGACCCCCGCCCACTCAGGATTGTTTGGGGGCTGGCCCGAGGCGGGCCTTTTCCATCAGCCGAGATGGCTGAACGATTGCCTCTGAGACGTCATCGACGTCGCCCACATCGTACTGGAGGTCATTGTGGCATATCAGGTGTGACCTCAGCACGCGTGCTACATCCTCCATGGAGTTGGCGCGCTTCCGTTTGGGGGCCATGCCATCGCGCTGCCAGGCGCGCGTGGGGCACGCGCGCGGCCCCCAACCGCCAGAACCCCAACGATTGCGGCGGGCGACGACGTCCCCGACACGGCCCTGGATACCCCCAACCCCGATCGGCCACCGCAGGCCCCTCGAGGGCCATTGGGCGCGGGCCGTGATTAATGCGCCCTCCATCGGCATGGGGGCCGATGGAGGGCGCATTAATCATGTAGTGTATGTGTTAAGCTACATGCATATATACATATATATATATATATATATATGTATATACATATGCACATATATACACATATTTATATATATACATAAATATATATATATATGCATATGTATATATATGCGTATATGTATGCACATATTTACATAGATCTATATGTGTATTATAATTATACACATGTATATACATATACATACATGCATACATATATATATATATGTCTTTGATCGCCGCACATCTGCGTTCAAACAAATGATAATCTAGGCGA